TATATACTAAGTATGTATCAAATACACTTTCTCGAGTTTCGAAACTTTATACTGTATGTAAAATTATTTGTTAAAACATTTATTTATAAGTAAAAGTTTAAAAAATGAGGAAGACTAATATTTTCTGATCACCCTCAGTGGCGAAACTTAATCAATAACTCTACATTACTGCTACCGTGTGGTAAAACACGGAAGCTTCTTAGCAATGCTCAATGAATAATAGTTTGAAACAGAAGTTTATTTCAAAAAAAGAATTTTTGAAAATGTTTTCTTATTTTATTTAACTTTTATTAATAAAAATTTTTTAAAATTTAATTGCATAATTTTTAATTTTTTAAAATTTACTTTTAGAATAAAGTTTAATTAAAATCATTCATGTCTTACGTGACATTTTATTTTTGACTAATTATTTTTGATCTAATACAAATAATATCTTCTAAAAGAGTAAGATAAATATATAAAAGAAATAACTATATTTAATATAAACTAATCAGTTTTCAATTGATTGTATAATGACCATAAACAGATAAGATTCGTCATCAATAATATTATTATGCTGAAGGCATAAAATCTTCTTTCAATATTTAAAAAACTAGTCATTTTAGATACATAGTTTTGCAGGTAAAATATTATTTTTTATTTTTGCTTTTCAATATACATTTTAATATTTTTATATTTTTTATTCAAATTTAAATTTAAATATTAATGATATCATCAACGATGATTTTATACGATATTTTTATTTTTACGATAATGACATTAAATTATGAATTAAAATAATTAAATAATGAAACTATTTATTAAATTAAGATTTTGTCGCTTCGGAATATTCATATATTTATAATCGTTAAAATACCAATGAAATTGCAATTACTAATACTAAGAAGTTTTAGAAGAATATGGAACTATAGCAAAACCAGTTAATATGCTCCAGTTGCCACAAAGAAATGCATACCGTTACAAGAAATTACTTTTAATATCAAATCTTTAAATTTTTAGAATATTTATGAAAAGCATCTATTGAAAAAATTATAGTTAAAAGAAATATTTAATAATAACAATTTGAAAAAATTTTATTTAAGATTTTGCAAGTTATTTGTTTTATAAAAAGAAAATATTAGATATCACTTTTAATTTATGTTAAATTTCCTAAATTTTTTACTCTTTTTTATTTTTTTTTTAAAACATATATATTATAGATATAAATTAATAAAAATATTTCAATAATTAAATTAATTATCATTAAATTGTTAATGATCTTATTTCAATAATACAATTCTCGATTATTAATTAAGATTTAAGAGAAAATATTTTTAAATGATCATGCGTATGTTGAAGTTTATCAGCACGCACTGTTGCACACTTTCTATTACAACAGACGCGACATAATCATATAAGAAGAACATATTCTAATATACACAATAATTTCTTATTTTACAAAAGATTCATATTTTTAAAAACTCTAATCTTCCAATTTTGTATTCTTATTCTGTATTCCTTTCTCTTTTATAATTATTTATTAAGATGATTTTAATAATTTATATAACATTTGATTTTTATAAGAAGAAAAACATTTTATGACATATATTTATATTTAACATTTATATTTAACATTTATATATCATTACTATTTTAATAATTAAAAATATTCTGATGTATATTAATATTTTAATATTAATATTGATGTATTTTTAATATTTAATATTTTTTTTCATTTAATTTCTTTCAGATGATAAATGATTGATTTTAAATTTTTTATATATATATTATAAATTTATGAAAAATCATAAAATAACTTTAATAATACTGATTGACTAATTATATTCATGCAATAAAAATAATATATATTAAATAAAAAATTCATGCAACATATTATATTTATTATTATTATTATATTATTATGTTATATATATTATATTTTGTAAAAAAGAGAATATTAAATTGTTTCTTGCTATATGATATATATCTTCTTTAAAAAATAAAATATCCAAGAATATTATCATTATTTGAATTGAAGAAAAAGTTAATTATCTGTCTACTCATTCTTTTACCACAAGAATTTATTATTCAAGAAAACATAATTTACAATCAAACAACGGAAATGACATCTTTATATATTTTGCTAGATCCATATCATTAAATTTACATAAAATGAATACATAAATAGCTTTTAAAATTTTTTAAGAATTAATTTAAAATTATTATTTAAAAGAAAAGAATATTTAGCAAATAATAATGCAACATAAAATCAATTTTATTATTTATTATATTATTATATCTTATGAGAATAATATAAATTTTGCAAAATTCATATGTTGATTAATGTATAAAAAATATTTAATACTAGAATAATCAAATTAATCAAAATCACAGATTTCATATTTTTTGATTATTGAAAACATGAAAAATGTTTTTAATAAAATTAATATTGTAATTTATTGAGATAAAAATAATTACATATATCTATTTATTTTCATGATATTACTTTAATTACAATCATTTATATATAAAATAAATATTTAAATACAGATCGATAGTTTTAGTATTATACATACATCAATATAAATAATTTGATTATATAAATAATAAATTATTGAAAAAAAACTATTAAAATTTATTTAAAATATATTAAATTTATAAATTTAAATAAGAATAATTTTTTTTATTATATTGTTAATTCATTAATTTATTATGTTAAATCAATTTTCATTAAAGAAATTTAATATGTATTATTTATTACTTTAAATAAGTATTAAATATAATATCGATTATTTGAAATATCACAATATTTTTTTTCAGATTTCATAAATAAGCAATCTTCTAAATCCTATTCGTAAATGAAGGTTGCTCCAATATTTAATTATTGTTACATCAAAACAAATACTCTATACTTAGTTTACATTCATGCTATTAAACATTATAGTACTTACGCGATCCTTATCGGAAATTATATTGATCCCATTTCCAATACTATTGACTGATATTTCCGAAATACTAGCTGACATGTTCAAATTATTTCTTTTTATAACCAATCACAAATTAATAATTATTAAATCGAACGTACACATACAATATATTTTCGCGATTTACGAGAAATTCAATTAAAGTCAATTAATGTAATTCAATGATTATAGAAAATTTTATTTTATGTTATACATAAGACTATTTGCAAAAAATATTCAAGTGATCGATAAATTGTACGTAAAAGTTAATCGCTTGTATGCACTAACAAATATATTACGGAATGTATTCAGATAGATAGAAAGGAGTTATGGCTTTTCTTCCAATATCGCGTAACAAGAAAGTTGATTTTGTTGAAGATTCATATGCTCGCGGGCAAATACCGACCAATCGTAACCGAACTATTCGATTGTGCAAAACCTTGTTGAACGAAAAAAAGTCAGTAGATATTAATTGTACATGAAAATGAAAACCGATATGTATACATGGGTTATAAAATGATGTTAGTTTGGTCGCGTACTAAAGCAGAATATCTGCCAGCACTGAGTTTGCTAGGCCGATCATGCAAGCCGATCTCCCTCCATCGTTTCATAACTGCAGATACCGGTATAGTGAGGCACTTTTTACTCGCTTCAAACTTTAGTTGTTTTAGGATAAAAATAAAAATATGTGATACGTATACAGCTTGTTTCGTAAAAAAATTTGTCTTTAAATTATACAATATATATATATATATATCTATATATATAAATGTCTGAAACATGATTGTAAATTAACGAGTTACATCATTTGATATAATTAAAATTTCCTTTCACTTTTTTGGCTTCATTTTAATTATATATGAAGCGATTATCAATCTTAAGAAATTTGTAACAAAATCATAAATTTTTAATTTTTTTAATTCTAAATGAATTTTACAATTTAATATTTTTAATTTCTTATCATAAATAATCTTAAATGAGATTTGAAAATAAATTAAATATTGAGAATTATTTGAATTAAAATATTTTTTATTTTTAAATGAATTATGAAAGAATAAAAAATATTTTAGACATTTTGTTTTTATATATAAAATATAAAAAAATTTTAAATTTTAAATAAAATTCTATATAAAATTAAATAAATTACAATTATATTCAATTGTAATAATAATAATTTATTATTACAATTATATATAATGAAATTATATAATAAAATTTATATTATTTATAAAATAACTTTACATTAAATATTTTTGATTATGTTACAAATTAAATTTTCAATTGTAAAATATTTTATTAATTAAAAATAATTAAAGTATCTTTAATCTTCTTAAATTTATACAAAGTATATATGTAAATAGAATGTATATTTGAAATTTTAGATTTATCTTGTTTTTTCTTATAATTTACAGTATATTCATATTTTCTTTCTATTATAAGTATTAATTAGTATAAATCAGTATGAAGAAATTAAAATAAATAGTTTTTAATATTATATTGTAAGATTTATTAATGTTATTAATGTTATAATTTATTAAGATTATTAATTTATTAAATTATATGTGTAATGTTTATAAACTTTGATAATAATATTTCTAAAATAAATTTAATTATATATTATAGAAATTTAAATATTCCTAAATTTCGCGGTATTAATGAAAAGAGAAGTAGTTAGATCATTTACTTGCTTAATCATATGATTATGATAATATAAATGTGCGATAAACATGTCATTTTCGTAATATTATATTTATATAAATTTGTCTTTATTATATCTAATTAAAAAATGTTTTAAATAATTTTAATAAAGAATAGGAAATAAAAATTGATTATTTAATAAGAATAAAAACTTTTTTAGTTAGTGCAAATAACCTTGTATACAGAAAACATCACAAACATTATGAGTATAAAGAAAACTAAGTAAATGAAAGATTTCCTATAAATTATACATTTATAAAACTTTAAAAAATTTGTTAAGTAATATAAGAATTTCTTAATAAGAAATTTTTATATTAAAATTCAGTTTGATGTTAAAGGTTAATTAAAATATAAAATAAATACTTTTTGTGTGTTAAAATTATACAAAATAATAATTAATAAAAAAAATGTTCAAATTTTTGGTACATTTTAATGTCTTATTTTTTAAATAATAACATTATTTTTTAATAAAAATATAAAAATTTGTTTTTTAGATAACCTTAGGCATTGGAATTTATGCTGGTATATATATAAGTCAAAACTATGAGGTATATTTTAAGATTATTTTTTATTTTGAACTAATTGTTTCAATAATTTAATGATATTTCATCATTTTATGGTAAAATTTATATTAGTATTTTTAAATGTAAATTTATTTCAGATACCACGTGTAGATGATCCTAATAAGATAATAGAACGAATAAAAGAATTTGTAGATGAATATAAAAAAAAATAATAATAATTTATTAAATAATATGTTTATGAAATATATTTCAATGTATACAGTTTTATTATACTATTATATTGTTGTATTTTTTATTGTTATATGCATATAAACATGAAATATTTTGTGATTTGATTTTAATAAAACATTTTGTGTAATGTGTGAATATTTTGGTAACTTATAAAATAAAATAAAATGTGTCTAAATTTATAACAATTCACTTTAAATGTACATATTATATTTTTAAATAATTATTTTGTGTCATACATATATAAATCCACCACCTGAATATTCCAATCGTGCTTGAGGTTCTACAAATGCCAACCAATCAGATGCATGTGTCGGGAGTAATCCCATTGATTGACATTTATATAATGCAAGTGCAATATTTACCAATTGTCCTAAAAAATATACAAACTTCTGTCCAAAAGCATGTGTTCCTTCTATAACTTTAAATGCTAAAAAAAAAAAATATTTTAAATATTAGCATAAAATTATTATTTGTTATCACTTTTCTTTAATTTTAAATGTTTTTCATTAAAACATCTATTCCAATTATAAATAATTTGATATACTTACTTTGCTGAAGAGTAAATAATGCTTTCACTGGTCTAATAATTAACATACCAACCATCATAATAGGAAATATTGATATGGAATTACCCGCCATATACATTATAAATAAATTCATTGGAACTTGTTTAAGAGGACCTAAAGCTAAATCCCATGATTTTTTAATTATTAAATGATTAGAATCCGATTCTCTAATTGAATCAGCAGCATGAAATAAAGCAACAGCAGGTGTATAGCCTGGTGGTGAAGCAATATCTGCATTTTTTTCTTGTTTATTCCTACAAAAAAAATATATTTTAAATTATATTACTTGTTTTTTAAAAAAATAATATAAAATATTATATCATAACCTTTATATCTTTAAGTCATTTATTTATGTAAACTATAGAAAAATAATAATTTTTATTGACATATTTATTTTCTATAATCTAAATTACACATATATATATATAAACTTATCAAAAATTCTAATAAACATAATGATTAATTAATTAAAAGAATTTGTATTGTACGTGTTAAAAATATAACTTGAACGATAAGGTTACCAACTTGTGAGCAAAATCCAAAGCCCATTTTGATCGTTTTGTATTTTGCTTAACTGCTGTCATTATCGTTAAATATTCTAAATTTATTATATAATTATTATAAATTTTTTCAAGCACTATGATAGCATACAAACATGTACACAGACATTTACACTATACAATCATAACGTATAACATCAATCAAATGCTTAAGTTCATCAAAAATTAATTACATCAATAAAACAAAATTAGAAATATAAACATAAATATTTAACATTTAAATTTAAAATATGTAACAATGAAAAATAAAAAAATTTTTTTTAAATATAATAATTTAATAATTTTAACGAAATTATTATTAAAATTTTTATAATAGATAAAAATCATATATTTTAATATATTTAATATTTAAAATAATAGAACTAAAATAATTTATATTTTAAATATTTAACTAAGCAAGATTACGCGCGAAAATATACATATATATATAAAATTTAAATTCAAATTATATTATCTTATATATATATATATATATAATATCTTATATATATAATAAATTTTCTAATTTTTTCCTTAGAAATAAATTGAATATAAAATATTATAATATATAATATAATATCAAAAGTAAGTATAAAAGGAAATATAGCAAATAGGAAAGAATCATCTCTAATCAGAATCATCTCTAGAATTCCACAAATCAAATATATGAAGAGAGAATAAATAATAAGAAAAAGATAAAAAAAAAAAGAATTAACTATTAGCACTATCTATTGACTAATAAAGACATTTCTTTAGAAATAGAATAAAATAGAGTAAGAATTGAATATGAGTATTATCTCTTAATTGTTTTTAATAATTTTTTTAAAAAGCTATTTTTGATACTTGAAACATGGTACTAATAATCAATTTTTATTCTATTTCTATCTTTTCATTATTTTTACACGTTTTATTTGCGATACTTTGAAGATAGCGCTAATTTCAATATTTTTATTCTATTTCTATCTTTTTTCCACTATTTATTTTAATTATCTATATTTATTTTATATTCTACTTCTTTTGTTAAATTATTTTTATATGTTATTTAATAAAATATAGCAGTTTATATAACTGTGATTAATAATATTTTGATTTTTTTCTCTTTTATCTATGTAATATTTTACATTCGAAATGGAAAAATGTAATACAGAAAAAGGACTTTTAGTATTAAATCATGATGATCCTAACAAGAAACAATTTGTAAGATTATTTTATTAGTAAATCAATTTTATTTTTTATGTATATATTTTATTCCATTAAAATTTTTGTATAAAATATATTGATATTATGAATTTAAAATTTTAAAAAAAGAATTATAAGATATTATATATTTTCCATGTATTTATCTTGTAATATTTTATATTTATTTTTAGTAATTTAATTTTAATGATCTTATAATTTATTATTTATAGAAAAATTCAAAAAATAAAACGTATAATATTAAAGAATGTTTTATGGAATATTCTTTAGAAGATAAAATTGAAGCTTTGAAAAATATGCTTGATTATAATGAAAAACATGTACAAAAATTACCATCACATATAACTAATATGTGTAATATTAAACAAATAATTGGTGTAAGATTTGAATCTATTAAAAAATTTATTTTTGTTATTATTTATTACTTTTACAATTATATTTTTTTCATGTTTTGATTCATTTTGAAACATTTTGAAATTTTGAAATATTTTTATTGATGTTTATTGATTCTTTTTGTTTTTATGAGTAAAATTTAATAAAAGCAATGATAAAAGTATTATTCTACAAATAAACAATATATAAATATTTAAATATGATTTATATATTTTATTAATTCTTAAGGTAAAAGAATGTATACAACCAGTTCAAGAGACATCATTTCAGACAATTATTTCTGAATTAAAAAATACTATAATGAATAGTTATTGGAACAAAGAAGTTGGTAAAACACGTTATCAAATTCCATATCTTCCAATGGGTATGAATCCATTAGAAGTGACTTTTGGAAAAAAAATTAAATCTGGTATAAACTATCAAACATTATATTTGTAACAGTGAAAAAAAATAATATAATAATTATAATATAATTTAAATTATTTATTTTATAATATTTTTATAAATTAAAAATATATTCATGAAGTATTTTTTATTAATATTAAAAGAAAGTATAGCTGAACTTCTTAAAGAAAAAATAGTGGAAAATGGTATTCCAGAGCAAGATATTATTGAAATGTATAAGAAAAGTCATAATAGATATTTGCCTGCAGAACAAATTAAAAGACAGTATGAAATAGTTAAATAATTAAGTGGCAATTTTTAATTTATAAGATTATAAATTATATATTCTAATGTATTAAGATTTATTGTAAAATTATATTTTTAGTTATAAAAAACCATTTGATCAAAATTTATGCTTTGGAAAATCATATAATGCTAATATCAGAGGTATGCGATTAAAAAGACTTCTAACATGGATTGATGCAGATCCTAATACAATTGCAAATTCTAATTTTGCAAAACCTTCATATTCTTATATTGATAAAGTAAAGTATTAAATACTACTATTATTAAAATAAAGCTATTGTTATCAAAAGATTATATTATAATTTATATAAGAATTTATAAAAAAAAAATAGAAAACAATCAAATTTTTATTTAAATTAAAAATAATTATTGTGAAATATAAGCTATATGTATAGAAATATTATATAAATATTGATTCTGAACAAAGTAATATAGAAATTCTTGCATTCAAGTTATTAAATTTTTTTTTAATCATTTGAACTTTTTTAGAAATTTAAAGAATTTATACATGAAATGAGACATGGTAAAGTTAATGAAAAAAAAGATGTATCTGAGAAATTAAACATTTTAAGTGATTGTTCTATAAATAATGAAGTTATAACACAACAAAATTACTTGCAATATATAAATAGTTTACGTCAGAAATTCAAAAAACAAGTTCCAGAAATTCCATATTTAGATATTTATGAAGACTTAATATGTCTTGATAAAGTATTGTTATTTTATTTTCTTATATTATATATATATATATAATTAAAAACTTAAAAAACATAATGCTTTACTTCTATTGATTAAAATGATTTTAAATATTATTGTATTTAGGATTATACAGGTATTTTACCAGAAGATAAAGTTTTTTCTATCTTAGCTAAATATAAAATATATATAAATAAAACATTTTTAATACCTTTATTGGATCTTCTTCAAATATATAAAGAAAAAAATATAAAATATAAAGAATTATTAAATCTTTTAAATTGGAAATATGATTTTCCTACATTACCAAAAATAGAAAGTAAATTTTTATGTTTTAATTTTATTATTTAAATTACAGAATTAAAAATTATATGATATATATATATATATAAATAATAATATATAATATATAATAAATAATACGTAAATAATAAATATATATTTATTTAATAATATTATATCATATTTCTAAATCATTATTAGCATCATTATTTGTATCTAAAATGACATAATTTTCCTAGAGATTCCTTTGGAATGTCAATATTATAGCACTGAATACAATACAACAATAGGAAAGATAGACAGAATAGATACTACAAGTTAGTGAATTCTTTATTCTACTTTATTATCAAATATATTATAACATGTTAGTTTTTTATTATATTGTGCTAATGTTATTAAAATCATAGAAAATAGTATTAGTATTATAGTACAGTATTATAATAGAAATGCTATATATAAATATATATATATAGATTAATATTAATAATTCATTGTTAAATGTAAAATCATTATTTTGTTGCTTACAAATAGTATATTTCATTGTTTTCACAGATATCCCAACAGCAGGAATTTATAAAGATTTGGATAAACTTACTGCTTATAGTCTTATACATCCAAATATTTTTACAAAACATGGTCTTAGCTACACAGATCTCTCTAAAGTAAATTTAAATATATATTTATATAATATTTTGAAATTTAAATTTTATAATATAAATATATGCATTGTTAATTAAATTTCAATTAGCTTCGAAGCAAAGAAGAAATAAGAAGTATTTTTGAAGCTATTGGAATTCAATTCCCTAATAATAGCTTTGATTTATTATGGGAAAAAGGATTAAAAAAAAGTTGCACAGATAATGTATCTGTAGAAATTTTTGTAAATTTGCTTGATCAATATGATGATATAATTAATAACAAAATTAATTAAATACAAAATATCTTTAGAATTCAGATTTAATAATAGATATTAATAATACATATAAATATATGCAATATCTAATTAAAATATATTTAAATATTTACTTACATTTTAATACTTTTATACATTTCAAGTACAAATTTTGTTGCAATACATAAATATGAAAATATGCAATATGAAAATATAAATTCTTCTTTATGAAATTATATTGTACAATAAAATTAATTATATACTATACAATAAAATTAAAAGTTATTATATTATTCTTAAACAAAAAATATTTATGTAAAGAACTTATTTAAAATTATATACATATATAAATATGATTTATATTAAATACTAATATTGTGGTTTTAAAAATTTTGGTTTTTTTGGTAATGGTTCATGATTATTATTATGTTTTTGTAATGATTTTTCATATTTATGTTCATTTTTTGTTATTTTTCTATAAGTTTTCCAACTTTTTGCCATTTGTTCATCTGAAATATCTGTTTCTTTTTGTATTTCTATTTTAATATTTTCATTCTTTTGTTCTGCTTCCATTAATTTTTCTATTTCAGGATTCATTCCTTGAAAACTTACTCTACCATCAGTTAACTTTTCACAGAAAACATAACTAGGTTCAATGATAAATCTTTCTCTTAAAAATAAAAAAATATATTTAAAAATACATATTTTTATATTAAAAATTGGATATTTTCATAAATTAAATATATCCAATTAATAATAAAATAATTAAATTTATTATTTAAAATATTTTACATTTAAAAATTGAAGAAAACTTACGAATCTTTCTTCATACGTTTTGTTAATTCATTTCCAAAATATTCTTCTCCCTCTTCTTGAAATTGTTGTTTCTCCACTTTTTCTTTAGTACGTTTCATAAACTATTAAATATTTATATATAAGAATATTCAATAGAATAAAAAATTTCATACATGATTTTGTGTGATATTATGATATGAGAATATTATATTTATAATATTATAATTATAAATATTATAATTATAATAATAATAATAATAAATATAATATATATTATAATTCTTTAACTTACTTTCATTTCTAAAATACTTTTTGATAACTTTGCCTTATTAACATCCATTTTTTTAATTTTTTTAATTTTAAGATAAAATAGATGAAATATATAACGTAATTATTTATATTATGATTTTTAAATAAAAATATAGTTAACATATGATTAATATTTCTATCTTTTTCTATAATAAAATTTGTTTTAAGTATTAAAAATAAATTTAATTATAATGTATTTGAAAACTATCGTATATTATACATTGATTCTTAGTAACATGTTTCTTATTATAGGTTAAGCAACATTAAGCATTTAAAAGGTAGACTATATATGTATAGACTATATATGTATTTATATAACTATATATAAAAAAAACAGTTTTGATTTAATATTATAAAATAAATTAAAATATATTTTTAAATTAAAAATTTTAAATCTTTTTATTTTTATTTACTTTTTAAATTATGTAATATTAAAAAGAATAGTATTAAAAAAGAGTATCATTAAACTTAATTTTATGATAATAAATATACAATTTGCAATAAACAAAAATTATAATTTTTATAATTTTATTAATAGATAAATTTTTATAATTTTTTATGATTATATTTAAACTTCATATAATTTTTACAGTGAATTAAATATTCATTATAATTATTAACTACTGAATGTATTAATTTATTCTTTCTCCTTTTTCAATTTCTTCATTTCTTTTTATTTATCTGAAATATATTAAAATAATAATTATATTTTTATATAATGCTTATATATGAAATGTTAATATTATTAATTATTATTAAATTACATAGTATAAAATAAACCATTATGAAAGGAATATTTATGACATTAAATAAGGATGAAAATAAAGAGGATACCTATATGATTAAACATCTACTTAATCAAAGATTTTGAAGTTTTTGAATTTTGTACTTCTATAGGAGAGGTTTCTGTTGGTGTTACTGAATCAAGAGGTTTTAAATCTTCTTTATTATGATGAAATGAAATGTCGTGAGCTTCTGCTAAGACTATATGAGAAAAATTTTTGTAAAAAAATTATTTAATTTCAAAGTGAAAAATATTGAATTTTATATTAAAAATTATAGTTGTTTAACTAAATGTATAGGATAAATTATATCATATAATGGCAAACTATATCAACATGATTCTATAAGGCATAGGAGGAATGATGCAAGAGTAATTTTATTGTTGCATCCTACCTCCGTTTTTGCAGTTGTATCAGTTAATACAACATCAGTTGTAGTAGGTGTATCATTTGTTTTTTGTTCAAAAAATTGAACTAACATACGAAAATATTCTGATTCAAGCACACTTTTCACTAATGGAAATTCATTAAATGAAATTTCCTTTTTGTTGTCTCCTGGTTTCACTGAAATTTTTAATGTAATATTGAAATTTATACTAATAATTTGTATTATAAATATAAAATTAAATAATAAAATACATTAATAATATATTTGTAATATTTTATTTTTTTAGAAAAAAAAAAATATAAACAAATTCAATATTCAAAAAATATTCAAAATTCTAATATTCATTCTTTATATAAAAAAATATTTTGAATTCAATTTTAGAAGAAAATAAAATATGATTTAGAAAATAATGAATCTTAAATAATAAAGTTTATATTGCTTGCCATTTCTATAAGTAATATATATACACACATCTTAATGATTGTTTAAAACAATAATATTATAAAATAATAAATATACATACCACCATAAATGAAATTGTAGCTAACATTTCCATAGTGTTCCATTGTATTAACTGTTTCCTTTGTTTCCTTAGGGAAACAAACACAACCAACAATAGCAGCACCTGTAGTTGTATATATTAATCGTTTAAATATGCCTCCTCTAAGACTTAATATTAATCCTGATAAGCCACCTACACCAACAGCGCCTATTCGTGGCATAAGATTGGCTTGATCTTGAAGATAATCAGATATAACTATAAATATAAAAAATTTTATTGATATTAATAAACATTTTATATTTTATTTTAATTTGATATTAAACTTTATATTAAATATAAATACATACATTTGAGACTTTCTAAAGAACTTGAAATATCGCGAGAAATCTTATCTATTGTAAGTTTTATCTCACCCACTGTTTGTCGTATTTTTCTAATATTATCTTCCACAATAGAAGGATATTGTATGCTACAAAAAATTATGATTATCTGTCTATATCTGTATTAATTATTTGCAAATATATTGTTTTCTTAAAAAGAAATTAAAAGAATAAATTTATATTAAATAAATCACTTTTTTATAAAATTCTTCTATGAATAAGAATAGAAATACATTTATCAATATGAAATTACTTGCGCTTTACCATGGCATCTGCTTAGTATACCCATCATCGATAGAATAAATGGGTAATTCTGATGGTTTTATTAATTTCTTTCCTTGTATTTCATTATTACAAGGTGCAGGATGTTCTTCAGGAATTGGGGGTTTCATTGCTGGTACTGCAGCACATAGCCCACACGGCATCAAGAATTTCTTGAAAAACTTCATGTAAATATATATTTGATTTCTGTTTTCCATATTAGTAATAATATTTTAATTACTTTTGAGAAATTGTTCTTTATATTTATTAAAATTATATTCAGTGATAAAATTAATAAAATTTATTAAAAAATTCTTTTATATTTTATTATATATTTAATCAATATAATTAATAATAAATTATAATTATTAAGATATAATTAAGAATAAAATAAAATATGAAATGAAAAAAAAATTAGAAAAACGAAATAATAAATAGTATCGAATGTTAAATAATATTGCATTGTTTTGTGATTACCAAAGTTCGTTGCATTTTTAGAATAAGATAATGATAACTCTCTCAAAAATACAAATTATATTAAAACATCTTAAATCATTCGTAAAAATATTTAAACATTATTTCGAAAATTATAATTTGCCATTGATGACATTACTTCACAGACTAAAAATTTTATGTATTAAGAACGCGACATCTAGCGCTATTTTTAAATGGCACAATTAATTATTATATAAAAGAATATTGAATAATTATACATAAGTTATATAAATAACTTAATAACGAAATAAATAACGAAATAGTTATATAAAAGAAAATTAAAATTTTATTAATAAATCTTTATATTATGTTAATTTTATTAATTTCTTCTTAATAATATAAATTTTCTTTATTATTAAAAATAAATTTTTAAAATATTTTTTACTAATATTTAAAAAAAATATATTATCAATTTCTATTTCAAAATTGATTATTTCAAAAATAATTATTTAATTATTGATTTTAAATTTTAATCATAGAAGCTAATTAAAGCTGATTAATATTAAAATTATAAATATATTCTTGAAATATAAATTTATTACAATATATAGGATCTACTTACTAGATATCCAATTCAATATTAACAAAAATTTATACAGAAATAAAACATAGGACTTAAATATTAAAATCAAAAATCGTTGTACATCTTGTATTTACAGTTTTTCATAGAAAATTGACATAATATATCAAGGTTTTGTTTATGTTGTCAATTCATAACGGTTAAAAAAAAGAAAATCGGATAGCTACACAAATTTTATTTTTCCTATAATTATATGTTATTATATATAATAAAGATTAAAATGAGACTAAAATTTTTTCTTCTCTAAACATAAAATACAATGTATTGCCGCATTATAATATTTTTCGTTTCTAAATAATATAATATTCACATTTCTATTCATCCATAAATGAAAATTTATTTTATAATTTGTTAATTAATATCTTAATAGAGTTATAGCAATAGACTAAAAAAATTATTACTTGAATACATACTTTTACACCAGTTCTTCCAAATTCTACTAGTACACCTGGTTGATAATCATCGCATCGATGTACTGGTTCTCTACATGTCACATCTTTACCAAATAAACTCCCAATAGTTGATTCTAAGAATCTGTGTACGTAATTGTTCATAACTATATATTTGAAATGTTAGCGAATTTCACTATTTAAAATTTTAAAAATTGAAATTTATAATTTTATATAAGGTCGAAGAATTTAACGAGCCATTTTTACGTGTGATTTTCCGCTATTTTCACACGTATCACTAATTTGTTTGAAAATATGTGAACAAAATAATACAGTTTTTTCTCATTGTGTCATTATGTTTAAAATATTTTTGAATATTCTAAGAAACAAGCATAATAATTTTTGCATTATTGCATCTTTGTCTATGTATTATAAATTTTATAAAAATATTCATGATGAAAAACATAAAATATTTAAAAATAAAACTATCAATTATTAAATACTAATAGAATAATTTTGTTTATAGATATGTCATAGATATTTATCAAAGACTCAATAGATGAATTAATCAAAATTAATTAAAATCAAATTATTTTCTTAAAATTAATTTTTAATTATTATTAAATCATTAAAAATATTCTTTTATCTTCTAATTTAATAAAATTGATAACAGTTTAATACAATCTTAATATACATATTTATACATATATGAATTTTAATAAAATTTAGAAAAAATATATTAACATGTTCAATGCAACATCACTTTCAAATTGATTATGTTAAAGTATAATACATATAAAAATAAATTTATCAAATATAAAATAAAATCTTTAAGCAAAAATAAATATAAATTTCTTAATTAAAAATACTTTTTAAATTTTTTTATGGTTTCAATATTTTACTGAATTGATTTCATTTATAACTATATTTTGTAGCAATATGTTAATAGTAACTTTTATCTTAAAGCTAATGTTTCCCAAAGTTTATCTTTCTTCATAATATTAATAATCATTTCTTGACTAACAGACCATAATCTAGTTGCAAGTGCAGAATCTAGTGCAGCATTTGATGGATCACAACGATAACAATTATTGAAATAACATCCAGTTACACCTTCCAATTCTGGAGCAGTTGCACAAAAAATTGATGTACTAGCAGCTTGTTGCTGTAAAATTTTAAATATTATATAATATTTATTAAAAGAAGAATTCTTAATAATAAATAATTCTTAATAGTTAAAATAAATTAAGATTTATTTTTAAATAAATTATCATACCAGTGATTTTGTAAAAGGTCGTACTAGCATGAATAATAATCGTAATGTCCATGAATAACGAGACAATGAAGAAGAAACCATATTACCAGGATGGCAACTAAAAACATTTACAGAAGGCCAATATTTTGCTAATTCTTGTGCAAATAAAATATTACATAGTTTTGAATTATTATATGCTCCCATAAACCAATATTTATATGCAGGAGGAGATAAACTTAATTGATGAAAATCTTCTATTGTTCGTAAAGATGAAAATCTGTAAATAAAAATAGAATATCAGTTATATTATATATCATATATATATTAATAAAAAATAAAAAATTATTATTATATTATATATGCAATGTTGAATACCTATGTGATTCACTTGAAACTATTACTACTCTAGAATTATGACAGCTTCGTATTGGATGTTCTAATAAGAGAGTAAAGTAAAATTGAGATAGATGATTTACTTGAAATGTTGTTTCATAACCATCTTTTGTAAGTTGATAAGGAATTGCAAATACTCCAGCATTTAATATAAGAATATGTAAAGTCCTAAAATTTTAAGATATATTAGTAAATCAATAACAAATTATATAATATTAATCAAATTATAAATTAAAATGATTAAGTTTTTATGATAACATTGACATTATTAATAACTTATTAATTTATAATATACACATATTTTTTATTAATTTATAATATACCTATATTGTTTTATTAATTTATAATATACCTATATTTTTGTTTAAATTTTTCAGCTGCTTCTCTAACACTATGCAATGATGATAAATCTAAATGCAATGTTTCACATAATATATTTTCTCTTTCTTGTTTTATTTTTTCTACTGCTTCTGTACCTTTTTTTAGATCTCTACAAGCTATAATAACTGTACAACCATGTAGAGCTAATGATCTAGCAGTTTCAAATCCTTAAAAATTATAATAATTTCATAAACATGATATTCTAAATTATTTATATAAGATTATTGTTAATCATAAATAATTATAATAAATGAAAACAAGAAAAAATTAAAGAAATATAATACCTATTCCAGTATTAGCACCCGTAACTATAGCAATTTTGCCTCTTAAATCTCTTCCATGTAAAACAGATAATGCTGTACTACTACCATCAAAACGTTGTCTCATTGGATGTGATAACTCTCTATATTCCGTAGCAAATGCAAGTCTTGGATCTGTATAAGTTGTTGTATGATTTATGTGATCAACAAATAAAACTTGACCATCTTCTGCTACACGTCTTTCCCATCCAGATGGTAATTCTTAATTTCAAATTTTATTTATAATTATAAATCTTAGATAATAATTTTTTAGAAACTGCATAATTGATTATTAATCAAAATATATAGAAATAAATATTTAAATAATAATCATAATATAATAACATTTTATATATTATTATTGTAAACATATAAATTTGTTTATATAATTTTCTCTACTTAAAATAAATAGTTAATAATTTAAATATATATATAAATTTATATAATAGTAGTATTATACCCCCTTCAACAGTTTTTGTACGACCAGTCCTAGGATGTGTCCACTGTGTGCCTTTTGTATAATGACTAGAAAAAAATATCATAACTTATAAATAGATATTTTATAATTATATTATAAATATATAAAATCTTTAATTTATTTCATATTAATATTTAAAGATTTGATATAATATTAATTTTTATTAATAACTATTAATGAAAATAATAACAATAATATATAATATAATATTATTTACTTTACATAATAGACATTTCCATTAGCAGTTGTCATTTCTTCCCATCCAGGTGGTAATTCATCTTCACTGTCAGAATCATTTAAAATACCTATCATTTTCTTTTGAGATTTTTATTTTTATTATTTTATTTAAATTTATAACTTTTGATCACTTTATTCGTGATCGTATGATTTATTAAATTGATAATTTATATATCATTCATATATAACAACCATTCATAATGATACATAATAACTATTACCAACATTATAATCAGAAAAAAATATAATAATATTAATAATAAAATAAATTTTTTTATTAAAACAGAATGATTATAAATTACGTTTATTAAAATTATTGCATAATTATTTTAATTATAATATATAATATAATTTGTATAAGAAATATATATATATATATATGTAAATTATATATATATATATATAATTTTAATAATTAGAGATATCATAAAGAATATATTATATAAATAATTTAAATTTTAAAAATTGAAATAAAAAAGAATGAATGTAAACTTCGCAAACTTAAGTTTGAATATAATTTGATTTCATTTTGAATGAAGTTAACTGTGAACCGCACCCGCATACAATCGATAGCAGATTTCATTTGTGTCAAATGGATAATGGCAGCGACAGCAATTGATATGATGTTGCAAAGTAATGGATTTCATTCAAAGAAAAAAGAGGATTCAGAAAATAAAGATAATTTATGGTATGTTTAAAATTTTTTTTTAGAAATTTTTATTAATATAAAGTATACATACTCTTAAGCAATTGCAAATTGTAAATATTTTATTGTATTTTTTGTTTCATATTAAGTTAAAAAGTCAGAAAATTAATCATTTTTCTTGTATTATTTTATATATATGTTTTTTATATATATTTTTATAGGTCTTCTATTTTGGCTGAAGTACAAAACAGTAGCAGTAATAAATTACCCTCAAATAAGAATATTCTTGTTTTAGGTAGGTTTGAATCATTTTTCTTAATTAATATCAAATTTTGAAAAGATATGATGTTATATGTATACATAATATAATATATATGTATACATAATATATATGTATACATAAAATATGTTCATAAATGTAATATTTTTATGATATATTCTATATTATTAGCTTATTGATTTTCTTTAAGTTTTTAAACTTTTAATTAATTTTTTTAATTTTTTTATTATTTTTTTATCGTCTTTTTTATTTTTTATAGTTTATAAAATATATTGTAAAAATTAATTAACTATATAAATTCATAACTAATTAAAAAATATTTATAGGTGATAATGAAAGTGGAAAAACAACACTCATTGCTAAATTACAAGGTGTAGAAGATCCAAAGAAAGGTTCTGGTTTGGAATTTGCATACATCGATGTGAGAGATGATTATAGAGATGGTAATATTGATTAAGAATTTATAATGTCTTTAATTATAATAAATAAAAAATTATAAATTAAAAAATTGTAATATTTAATTTATTATTTAGATCAAACAAGATTATCTGTTTGGGTATTGGATGGTGATCCTGGTCATGCAAATCTTTTAAGATTTGCATTAAATGCAGAAAGATTTCCACATACCCTTGTTATGTTAGTTGCTGCAATGACAACACCATGGGCTATTTTGGATCAACTTCAATCTTGGGCTGCTCTTTTAGGAGATCATATTGATAAATTACCTTTAGATAATGATACTTGGCAACGGTGTAGGCAATTAAGTAAGTCATATTTTTAAATTATTTATTTTATTTATATCTAATTATATAAATAATAATATAAATATATTAAAAATTGATTTTTATAATTTTAGTATTTTAAAATTTTTAATAATAAAATAATTTAAATATCTTATATATTTAGATGTAAAAAAATGGCAAGATTATACAGAACCTGGAGATGAATTAGATCCTGGTAGTCCCTTAAGACGTACTAGTCGTAATTTGGATGATGATACAATGGATAACTTACCATTACCAGAAGGAGTACTTACAACAAATTTAGGATTAGATGTTGTTGTTGTTATTACAAAAACTGATTATATGTCCACGCTTGAAAAAGAACATGATTACAAGTAAGATTATATTATGAATTATATTAATTGTTGAAAGAAAATATTCGTTTATTAATTTTAATTTTTTTAGAGATGAACATTTTGATTTTATACAACAATGGATAAGACGATTTTGTTTACAATATGGTGCAGGATTATTTTACACATCAGCAAAAGAAGATAAAAATTGTGATTTGCTTTATAAATATCTTACACATAGAATTTATTCATTACCATTTAGAACACCTGCTTTAGTTGTTGAAAAAGATGCAGTTCTTATGTATGTAATTTTTCGAAAAAATTAAAGTAAATATTTATGATTTTTTATTATTTTAAAAATATTTTTAATTATAGTCCTGCTGGTTGGGATAATATGAAAAAAATTAGCATTCTTCATGAAAATTTGCAATCAATGAAACCAGATGATTATTATAGAGATGTTATTGCACAACCATCAATAAATAGAAAGGTTTTGAATATATATAAATATATTTTTTATATTAAAAATTTTTTTAATATTAAAAATTTTATAATAAAAAATTATTTTATTAATTAGTGTGTAGCTAGAGAAGTAGAAGTACAAGCAGAAGAAGAACAAGCTTTCTTAGCAAAACAACAAGCTGCATTATTAGGTGTAAAAGATCCAACACGTTCTCCCACAACCAGGAATCAGGCAAGCACTGGACCAGTTATTCAGGTTATACCATTTATAATTGGAGCATGCTTATCATATTACATATAGTTAATCATTCAGCACTAAATAACAATGTGGCTAATTTATCTACATTATATATGCTGTTATCATATTTTCATTTTTTAACAAATAATACTTATTACATTAAAATTATCCTGATTGTAATAATTCAAAATGATTTTAATTGATATATTTCAGCATATATTGCTTTTTAAATAGAAAGGTGCTTTTGGGAATAATTGTCTGACATAATATTTACATTTCGTAATTAATTTTTTGTATATTAATGTTAAAATCATTAAGTGTTTTTCATGTTCATTGAGATCATCTAGATGAATTTATGTATTGCTTATTGATCATATTTACATTCTTATATTTAAATTCATAAGCTTTCTATTTTATAATTATAATAAATAGTTTCAAAATTATATTATGTCAAATTATATTTATTTACATTAAGTTGATGTTGAAAATGAATGTTTATGGATGTTAATATGTGTATTTTGTTAAATTTACAGTATAAAAAAAAATGTATTTGCAACTTCTTGATATTGTAACAGTCTAAATTTCAATTATTTATTTTATTGTTTAGTAATGTGGATTATTAAACAGTTTAGTCTTAGTTCAATATCTTGGAGATGCTTTTTTGCAATGAACAATTAAAAGCATGTTCTAATTTTTGTGGTATGATCTGTTATAGTTATAACAGAAAATTTTTTGCAAGTATTAAATATTTTTTATATAGGTAGCATCGCCAAATAAAAAACTAGATCCTAAAGGTACTGGATCTACACAATCTGGAGAAGGTGTTTTAGCTAACTTCTTCAATTCTCTTCTTCATAAAAAGACTGGAAGTCCTGGATCACCAGTTGGTAGTGGCATTGGCACAAGCCCCATAAAAATTGGTAAATATTTCAATTCATTATAAAAATTTAGTATATATATTATAGATTCTTATAATCAATCAACATTATATAAATTTGATTTATCATTTATTTTAGATAGCGCATCAGTAGATAAAGCAACTATGTGTAATGATGCAGCAGTGGAATTAGATCGCCTTACTCGAACGAAAAAGATTTCTCCTCCTAATTTAAATTCATCATCTGAATGTTAAAGAAAATATTTTTTCTTTGCGACCCAATATATATAGAAATAAAAATCAAGAATATGCAAGTATTTTAATAAAATTTTGAAAATGACTTAACAAATATATAATATATTCATCTGATTTTTATCATATTATTTGCAATCATAATTAATATAATTTTTTTGCTTTATTAATGATATTGACATATTTGTAAAGAACTTGTAATATTTTATAATGATTTAAAAGAAAGAATTTTTTTATTTATATACATTATATTTTATGATATACATGTTATAATCTAACATATAATTTTATTATTAATTCATTTAATTATTAATTCAATTAAATTTAATATATTTAATTCAATACATTTTTTTATAATTATTCATAATTTTAACTTATTATAAATAATAGTAAAATATTTAATAAATATTTATTCAACATCTAATAATTGATTAATTACATTGTGCAAAGCACAAATATTTAATTGAATTTATTAAACTAAAAATATATAATATTATATTAATGTCTAAATAATGAAATTATTATAGAATATTATATAATAAAGCACAATTATATAATCTAATATTTTTTTAAAATAATTTTCTTTAAGTTAAGTAAATGATATATTCTTTATTAATGTTTATGTTTATATTCCTAATATGATATTGATATTGAGATAGATCATTGACATAATGTCAATAGTGTTATGAATTTAACAAAAAATTTTATTAAATAAAAATGGGTTGCAAAGAATTAATAAAAAACAATCTGATTCAATTCACAACGCGAAACAGGGGAAACAGAAAATAAAAAAGTGTAATAAGTTTTGGTTGTTTTGATTGATTAAATATCAAGAACAATATAAAATAATAGTTAAATAATAATTAAATTAATGTAATTAAATATTTAATATAATAATATATTCTAATTATATGCTTATGCAAATGTTCTTATACCTTTTAATAGTTAATTATTTAACAATTAACCATAAAAAAAAGATTTTTTTTACTACTAAAAGAATTTTATTTTATTTCTAAAAGAATTTTAGAAGTTAAAAAAAAGAATCTTTTTTTGTAAATTCAATTATCATCAATGTAGTTTTCTGTACACGAACTAATTGAAATTTTTAATTAAAAATAAATAGTTTTTCATAAATATGATGTTTATTATAACAATAATGATATATTTTAATGCAAAATTTTGATATTTTTTATTTTTAAACACAAAAAAGATAAAAATATTTATATTTTCTAAACTTTGTACTTATTATTTATTTACGTTTATTTTTTAATATCAAATATTTAATAATCTTACAATATAAAAGAATATTTATAATTTTATGTTTTCATTGCAAA